CACCCCCGAATTTACACCCCCCAACTGTGGATGCTCTAAAGCCATTCTCCTTGCCACATGTTTCGTCGCTAAACACCTTTTCTAGAGTGTATTCATGATCGATTATCATGACAATGCAACTAATGACATGGTCACATTTTATACCAACACTTTTTCTAGAGTGTATTCGTGTTTGATTAATTATCATGACAATGCAACTAAGGTCATAGTCACTCTTTCATACTAGGGTGGGCTCCAGTCCCGTGCAAATATTTAGAAAAACATAACGTTAGTGCTAACTTTTAGGAAGTTCACCTATTTAGTGAAAATTAATCCACCTTATTTAAGGAAAAATTAGTCCAGTTCACCAAAAGTCAAGGCCCTTAATCATTAGATTAGACCCCGTTCACAACAACATCTTAAATGAAAAACAATAATAGTCCACTTCTATAAAAATCATGGCTTCGCACTTATTAGATGCAAACGACATTATCTTTCACATCAAGATAATGTAAATGTTCTATACATATATACATTATCCTCTCACTCACTTGTTCCATCCAAAAGTTTGTACACAAGTTTTACTAGATTAATCTCAACAAGTTCACTTTCGATGAAGTACAAATTTCATGAAGACGAACATGTAAGAACTAAAAACTACAATATCATCTAATAATAATCATAATTCCAATTTGGATAACACAATGGGCTGGTTGACAGATCCGACCCATTTGGATTTGGGTGGAACTAAACCAACAATATGTGGTCGTAGCCCAACCTTGTCAGCCTAAAAACCTAGGCCGGACAGAAGGCCCAAAACCTAATACAATGTAGCCCTAAGATTTTCAGGGCAATGCGGTCTCAACGTACATCTCTCTGCTTCCGCCACCTCAGCGCTGGGCACCAACTGGCAGGTTATGGCCGGGACTCGTGACCGTTTTTCATGAATCCCTCCATCGTTTCAACAGTCTTACTTCTACTCCCTTCTTCTCTGCACTAAACAACACAAACACAGAAGTTTTTCAACGTTTCTCTCTCTGTCTGTGCAAAAGCTATGGCAGGAGGTATATATATCATCCCTTCAACTTTTGTAGGTTTAATTTTTGTGGGTTCTTTTCACACTGCTGATTACAATATGAATTCGGGTGCAGAACTTCCTGGGTTTTACTATGATGCGGAAAAGAACAGGTACTTCCCTACCAAAGGTCCTATACCCGGCTCCCGTCGTGTGACTACTGCTGCTTCTTCTTCCAGCGCTCAAACACCGGCCCAGGTACACTAGTTGTTCTACATTTGAACCCAAATTTTGTATTTTTCCTCAGAGTTTTGCCTATTTCAAAGTTTGTATCTATGTTATTTTTTATGCTTCTCAGCTTAAATGAGCTCGGAATTGTTTCTGTGGTATATGGGTTCTGCTTGAATTTGTATTTTACTGCAACTTATTTTTTGGTTTGGGGATGGATTGGGAGTAAAATGTCGTGTTCCACTTGCTCTGGTGATGTTCTTTAGTTTCTTATGGTGAGTTTTTCATGTCACACTGACGGGATTTTCCTGACAATTGATGATTAGAATCGAGCTAATCTCATTCCTTGAAAAAAATTTGGCATGCTGAGAATTTTCTGTGTGGTACACATTAAAGTTGTTATCTTTTTAATATATGGAGTGGTAAGCAGTGTAAAATCTCATGGTGATCGGGTTCAGGTACTCGTAGTGCAACTTTTTCTTTCTGTTGTAACATACTAATGACTTTTACATAGATTTGCGTCCAGTGTTGTAAAGAAACTAGTGAATCCCTAAGCCTTTCTGTTGTATGTATTTTTGTATGCTATTACTTATTATTCACATAGATTTACAGCAGCTGTTTCTACCTGGTTAATCTGCATCTTAAATCCCTCCAGATTTATAGCTGCTGCTTATTCTTGGTTTTTTTTTAATGCTTTTAGTTAGGCTGGTTACTATATTTTCAAAAGGACTTTAGTGCTGGTTCTGATTCATCTTGTTATAGGTGAGCAATTCATGTAGGCGAACCAGAGTAAAAACTTCTAAGCTGCTTCATGACAGGGAGTTATGTGGTAATCTCATCGCTTCTGGTAAAGGAAGGTGTAACTTTTATGAGGAATTCCAAAAGGCGCAAGTATCCCTTCCTGTGGTATGTTGATTTACTATAAGGCTTCATTCTAGGATTTTAAGTTAAGTTTTCCAGTTATGTTCAAATTTAGCCCATTATGATTCCAGCAATTTGTTTTCGGATTTTACTTTCTGCTTGATTGTTTATGACCCATATCTGATATTGCAGGTTGTAATTTATGTTCTGCAGGAAATTTATAATTTTATTTTTATCTCAGTGTTCTTTGAATTGCAGGTTTGGAAGTATCAGGGAACAAATCAGTTAGGTGATGGTGCTTTGGAGCGGATTCGCATGGATGTACAGACAGGAGAGGGACTAACTGATACGGACTTTGTATTAGCAGGTGGCGCTGATGGCTCTTTAAGGTAGAATAAAGTTGCAGTCTAATGTAATTTTGCATGCATATTTTCTTGTTTTAATAATGTTTGATATGTTAAAATTTGTGATAAATTGATAATAGTTTTGGAATAAGGTATGGTAGCATGAATAAGTGATTGTGTATAGGGTTTCGAGACTTTGAAAATGGATCTGTTCTGTCAGAATAGTATGAGAACTTTGCAGTATTTAGTTTTTTAGTGCTAAATAAATAGTATTAATGCGCTATGGCTACTGCATAATGGGGGTTGCTTTAAGACATGTATCCAGGTACGCATGTATTGAAGCCAAAAAGAACCATGCATGTACAAATATTAATTCTATTACTTTCCTACTGTAGAATAAAAACGGAAGGAAGTGGTTTTGTTTCATTTTGGAGACATATGAAACAACAGAACAATGTAGAAACCGCTCCACCTTTTGTATGGGAGCGAACTGTGGGAAATTGTCAGATGTCATTATTTCTCTAAACAGCCTGCAATCCATGTATCATGTGATAAACACAAAGTGTTGATTGGGGCCTTTATTTAAGAAGATTTTCTAATACATGTTGTTTGAGGTATTGAAGAATTAACATAGTGTGTCTTATTGTATACGGTATTTAAGCATGTCTGAGCATGTATGATGGGTGAGAGATTTTTATGATTCACATATCTAGTTTCAACATGACAGTTCACATGTCAATCTGGAATGGTTCCTTTGATGGAAAGGTTCAAGAGAGTTTCTCTCCTTTCCTTTCCCTCCCAGTTTTGCTTGGAAGAATTAGCTTCAGTTGGAATTTGGATTTGGAAGTCTTACTTAAGTATCCTAGATCTCCCCAACTCGTGGCTGTTGTGGGACCTAGATAAATGACAATCTCCTTTTCTTTATGCCATGGCATACTCTCTGAAAGAGGAATAAATGATGGGCCTTAGTAATGCAGAACACAAGCATTTACCTGCTCATAATACATAATATCAGGTAGTGAGAAGGGCAGCGCCCTTTCCCTCACCATAAGGAGCAGTTGTGATAACCAGTCTTTAAGGGACATATGGGAAATGCTTTGACTTGGCTGGCTCTGATACTACTTGTAAAGACTTCTTAAAAAGCTGCAAACCAAAGCTCGTAGCATTCCAGCAATTGGCCCCTTCTTTAGAGAAATTTTTTCTTTTGTGAGGATATGAATCCACCCAAATTGTAACATGTGTACAATGCTAAATTCTAAACCCTAAACCCAGTGTCTTATATTTCAAGTGGATTCATAACACCACATGGCCATCACATACAATAATCTTTTCCTTCTCCACCTTTCTATCTATTAGCTTCCTAATGCTAGTGTTACTATCAATGTATGTTATCATATTACTAGCGTTGGTGTTAGCATTGACATAATTCTCTACTTCAAACATCTTCTTTTTCCGTGACATTTGGGCCTTTGGTTTCTGTTGATAACTAAGCCTAAGTGATTTCATTCCACCATGGGCTTGTCAACTAGTACTTTCAACAATTTTCCATTGTGAGATCAGGCCCTGCTGAGCACTTTGACCCTTCAAAATCCGTGCTCCTTACTTGCAGTGCTCTTGCTGATTTATGGCACTAATGTCTCCTAGGCTGTGAGATTGATCAATGCTACTGTTTTTAGTACATATAGTGTGGAAATGCCACGCACTATAAGTTCTTCTTTGTGCTGTTTTGAAAAGCACCATCTCAAATTCTCTTTATGTGCATCATGTTTTAGAGTGGTTTATATATTTATTTCTAGTTTTTTGATTTTTTGCAATGATGTAGTTTCAATTTCTGTCCTAATCTGCTTGTTACTATGATATGAGTATCGGTGTTTATTTGTATTACACATGTGTCTTTTGGAATTCTTATCCTATGGTTCTTGGCATCTCTATTTCCAAATAAGTTATTACTAATCTTTCTCTGAAATATGATGCTCTTGCAGTATTTTTGAAGTTGGGAAAGTTGGGCAGGGTCTTGAGTACGGGATGAAATGTAAGGCAGATCGTGTCTGGCCACTGTTGAACAAAAGTCAACAAGAGTGTAGTGAAGTGCCTGGGCACATATGGAGACCAGCTCAAGCTACGCCACGAATGCCATCGAATATATCTCGTATAAAATTGTTTGGAAAGCAGTCTCCTGGCACAGAAGATGAAAGTTCACGCACCCAGCATATGTTGTATCCTTTCATACGTTACCAGACTTGTTCTTCTTACTGTTTAATATAGAATACAAGTTTGATGCTTGTGCACTCACACATGTATTTGTTGGACTTAAAACTCTTACAATACTTTCTAGACCTTCTTACCTTATCCAAAAAAGTTTCCAGTATGTATCTTATTGAAAAAAAAAACTAATCTTTACTTCTGCAAAGCCTTAACACAAAAAAAACAGGGTATCAACGTTGGGATGTGAGAGGGCTGGTGGGAGTCTTGTGGTTATTAACCTTGTTGAACTACTAAATTTTAATCCAAATAGGCTTGTCTTAAGGCGAAACATTTATGAGATTGCAACTTTCAACTGCACTATTTGGACTGCAGATTGTGAACCTGATGGGAGTCGTGCAGTGATTGGTAAGTACTATTTCCTTTTTATATCATTATATTTTTAAACTGTGTTAGTCATGTTTCATGGTAGCTTTAATGTTCTCTTATCTGCGGGTTATTTGATAGGAGACTTTCTAATACAATATGATCCTCTGGCTTGAAAATTTTAGTGCATGCACACACACAAAGTTCTTGGATGACACCTAAAATTCAATACTAGCACACTCTGTTTCGAAAAATTCAGCGCACACTCTGATCATTGTGACATAAAGGCATTTCGATAATCAACTGTTCCCCTTGCTGGTTTGAACTTATACTGGAGTAATTTGCTTTCTTTCCTGCTTTGGTGTTGCTAATGCTGCTAGCATGCATAATATGCTTGAAGGCAACAGTTTTTCAGAAGTGAAAATGCTATTGTTAAGAAAATTTATTTTGTTTGTTATAGGAACCAACCTGGGAGCTGCTTTGGTGGATTTGGAAACTGGGAGGGCATCATGGCTGTTACGCAGTAAAAGTGATGTTTTGGCACAACAACTCGTTCACTCGGTAATTTATTAGTCTTGTTTCTACTGTTAATAATTAATATTAGGATTATTGTATTCATGTTGTTCTTGGATAAATAATTATTGGTAAGTTATTATTCTTCTTTGATAATTCAGAAGTATCTAACTATTCTTTACCACCTTTCCCTATCTTTACTACTTTTAGAAGATATCTACATATTTGGAAAATGTGTTGCTGGAAGTCAGCTGGTCTGCTGTGGAACAGTAGTGAGGTACACAGGCATCCAGTTAGCTTTTAGTTGCAGCTCAAAGCAATAATTCAAAATTGGTTGAAATCAATTGGCTTTTCATAAGCCAGTTCTAGTAGCAATGTCAGCTAATGATCAAGGAATCAGATGCTACACTCTGGTCAAGTTTGTGGAAACTCCCAGAAATTTTACCTTAATGTCTAGGTTATTGAGGGAAAATTTTCAGGTCCATGTGGTATGTTGCCACTCCCCTCTATGGTATTGCTATGGTCCTTCCTATGGTATTGACACGGATTATAAAGCTTAATTATTTCAGACTGTTAACTAAACACTATGGTTTTGATAAGTTAAATAGGCTCACTGCTTTTAAAATAATGTTCCCATTCTGGAGGTGCTGTGCAAATATGCATGGTTCAGGATAGAAAGATTCTTATTTTAAAGTATCCAGAGGTTTGCTGATTCGTTTTGACTATCTTAACTTTTTTGTGTAGTAACTTCTTTTATATGGTTTTTGGAACTCATCTTTGTTTATTATTGTAGGGAAATGCTGTTTTATGCGGACTCAGAAATGGAGCAATTGTAACAGTTGATGTTCGTGAGAAACAGGAAGCATTTCCTGCAAGACAAGTTAGACATAGAATGCGCCCCTCACCTTTGGATAACACTCTTGGAAAATCTAGTAAACAATCGTTTAAGGTATAATGCTCATTGTTGGCATAACAAACCGCAGTTTCTTTTTGTTTCTTTCTTTTCTTTTTTCTCTTTCCTTCAGAAAGAATTGTTAGACCATGATTTTACAATACAAGCAATTTCCATAAGTCATTGATTTAAATTTCGTAAGTATGTTTAGCATAAAAAAAGGTGTAGCTATAGCAGGAGCTTCTGTAACTCAAATTTTTTTCAATTCTTTTCTTTGACATAACATCTTGTTCTTTGTGTCCAGGTGGAAATTTTTTCCAACAGAATTATTTTAGTTTAATGTGGAGCTGTTTTATTAATGTCTTTGCCCATCAGGGATGTGTCTGTCCCATCAAGCAGCTTATTGTTTTTTAATGAATATTTGCTCTTCCAGGTAAAAGTTAAAACTGCAAATAGTTATCCAGTTTTTTAATTTTTTTTTTGTTGTTGTGCAGCTTTCCGGAAATATGAATCCTTCTCATAGCACTAAAATGCCTTCATCTATTGCAAGGTTAGTAGCCTTTATCATCTCATAAGATGATTTTGTTCTTTAATGTTTTTCATCTTCTGCTCACTCTGTTTGTTTTGATACTCCAGTTTGGTATCGCTTCGGTTTGATGACCAGTACTTCTTGGCAAGCTCCATGGATGGAACAGTTAATGTTTATTTCAAGCTTTTTGTAGATACTAACTTATTCAGTGTGTTTGTTTGTATGATCCGCAGCACTGGTCTTTAGATATGTAATACTTGAAAAGCATCCATAAGATTATGGAATTTTTACATAGTACTGGTCTTCATAGACATATTCTCATGTACCTCTCAACACAACAGATATCTAGCAATCAACTAAAATTATAGAGAGCCAATTTTCTCAAAGGAAAAAAACTGGGATAATGTCTAGGTAGTAGGTACTAGCTAATTCATTACATATATCCTTAAGGAAAAGCAAAAAGAGTAAAAAAAATCTCAAATCTGGTTATTATTGCTGTGGTTGCTGCAACGATTTTGGTCGATGTCACTCTGAAAATTTCTTGTTTTTGCAGGTGAAGCTTTATGACCAACGGATAATCCAAAGAGGAGCTGTACAATCTTATGAGGGGCATGTGAATTCCCATACTCGTATGCAGCTTGGAGTTGACCCATCTGAGAGATTTTTTATGTCAGGTGAATATCATTATTGTGCATGCCATTTATTTTGGCAAGTTCTATCCTTTGAGTTTCTCTTATATATATTTCTTTTAGGTGGAGAGGACTGCAATTTACGAATTTGGAGTATCAAGTCTGGTGAACTGCTTTTTGAGGATAAATTCTCTAAAACAGTCCCCTCAACTGTGTGCTGGCGGAACGCTGAACGTACCCTCTATTTCTCTTGTGCTCTCATTCTTATTATCATTTTCTCCATTTTATTGACCTTCAGTTTTCTACTCCTCCGTAGGGTTTAAGGGAGAGCAGGATGAAAGGCGAAGCTATGAATACCTTGATGCCAAAACTTATGGTTTGGGGGCATGGATTGGATCCCGTGAAGGACTATTTTACATGCACTGGCAAGTGTGAGGTGTGCAAGAGTGTTGGGCATGGATTGGATCGCGTGAAGGACTATTTTACATGCACTGGCAAGTGTGAGGTGTGCAAGAGTGTTCTCAAGAATGCTTTTACAAATGTGCAAAGCTTGGCCCTTCTTTTTGTACTGATGCTTGAGTGCAGCAATCTGAATGCTCACCATACAGGAACGCATTTCTGAGCTGAAACACGTGGCAATGCTGGTGTGAGGAGATATGAACAAGGTACAAGTTATGATTTTGACCTTTTTCAACTGAGACATCGAAACTGTTGGCCTTGAGAAAGACCACCGCAAAATTTTCTAGATGGTGATAGTAGCGGAAGCTGCTTACCAATTTTTTTTTTTGGTTTCCATTGTAAAGATAAAATCTGGTACATAGTGTGAGTCTGAAAGTGGTATTTATGTGGGGGCTTGTAGCTTCGGTGGTTGAGAGCATTTATCCTCTCTCAATGCTGAAGTTCAAATCCTCTCTCTCCCCCTTGTAACATCAAAATGGTACTTTGTAAAATGATATTGTGAAATTCAGTAAAGTGAAAATATTACAACTTCAATTTCTCATTGCCTAATTTTTCTAACTTGTCTATTTCAAAAACCAAAGAATTAAACTATGTGCTGCGAATGGATGGTACTTGTGATTGTTTTAAATGATACATCTGAATTTTTATTTTATTTTTTGGGTTAGAACAGAACATAAAAGTTGAAGATATTCTATAATGAACTGCAAATATCCAGTATGCATGCATGCATGTCATGTGTTTATAGTTCTACTCTTTATCTCTGGAGAGGACCTTGATTGGCTGGGGCCACTTATGATAAAGCAAGCTATGAAAAGACTTTGATCGCTTTGATAACTTTGATCAAAGGAGACAAGCCATTCTTTTGATCTCTTTAATCTTTATTGGATGACTTGACTGCTGGTGTTTTCAAGGGTATTTTCTTTTTTTAATTTCTTTGGGAAATATACCAAGAGTTTTTCATAGGGCAGGCAGACCATATAGGCTTGTTTGAGTCTTTGGCACAAAAGTTTCTTAAAGTGATAAAACTCACTCAAAATCAAAAGTGAAGACAGAATGATGCTTTGATTGCCAAAAGCTAACCACCTAACCCTCCTCCTCTAGACAATAACACCATCTCTCTCTCTCTCTCTCTCATAGAGAGATGGGAATATAATTAGGAAATCTTTGTGTCTCTGTCTTGACTTAAACATGCTTTCTGAGATGTATTTTTTAGGATGATGGAGTATACAGTTCATATATCACTTTCCTCTAATATATTATTATTGATGAAGATATCTACTCAATTTTCACAGTACATTAGATTAACTTCTAACTTTATTTAAATTTAAAGGGAGGGGCCAAAATGAGAAGAGACATCACTTGCTTTGTTCATCTCTTATCATCCATCATTCGTGATCTAAGACTGCACCCTCTCATTTGTGCAAGCAACTCAATGAGCTAACAAATAATCGACATGTGAAATACCTAAACTAGCCCTGAAATATAAAAAGGAGGAGTATGGAGAGAGTGAAGCTACATATAAAACATGCACCACATGACCAAATTTCATAAAAATTTGAACAATGAGATTCCACTGATATGAGGCACGTGAGGAAGAAGACCAAGAAGTAAGAAGAGGGTAAAAACACTGGTATGAGGCACGTGAGGAAGAAGACCATCGTTCTATGGTTTGGTGCAGTGCAACTGTGCAAGGCAGGGCAGCTTCAGCTTTTAAAAGGGAGAGAGAGACAGATAAAGGGTGTGAATGAAGTTCCAATAAAGGAACAGGGGCTATTTAGGGAAAATAAATTCTAAAGAGACCCTTCTTCACCATTGCTTTGGATGCCATGGCACTGGCAGGCCTGTTTAACTTTACACGCAAAACAATGGCTTTCAATTTTCTCTTTAATTATTGCCTCAAAGCCTCAAAAACGATAACAATTTGTGAATCATTATGTCCCTACTCTTTGTTTATCCAAAAGCCAAGGGAACAAAAATAGCTATGTGCTCTCTGGCAAATAATCCCACTCGCATAAACATTCCCAAAATCCAATTGCTTTTTTCTCTTTTGACAACTGATGAAAAAAGCAAGTCCACCATCAGCCACCTTAACTAGAAACATGCTTGTTTTTTCTTTCTCTTAAAAAACAGGAAGAAAAAACAACCTTCAATAAGAACATATTTAGAACTTCCACTTCCATTCTTGAAGCAATTAAGCTGCTCATGTAATAATTTATGCCACATTTGTTCCAAATATTAAAATAATTATTTTGATCACGGATAATGGCGTCCGCACGGTAGTTATAATAGCATAATGATGACCATGAAGAACACTTGAAAATGGAAAAGAGCAAAATAGTATTATCTAATTGATCATATTCATTGCCTATATATATCCAAAAAGAAATATTGGATGCAAGAGAGAAGCAAACTACAAAAATGAATAATAGCATAATGATGACCATGAAGAACATTACTACTTAAATATCATGTACATCCTGGTTATAATTGCAAAATGATTGTCTGAAGGTTCTGTCTAGAAAATTATAATAATAAAAATTAAAAATAACATATAATTAAGCTGTAGTGATATTACTGCACTATATATAAATCAAATGGCAGAAAACACAAACCACAAAGAAGGAGAAAATCAGAGACTATATGTTTTTTTCTTTTCCTTTCTTGATCATATATCTACTTCGATCACTTTGTTTTGCTAGCTTCCACAATACTCCTCACCTATTTGAAATGGGATTTGGACCACTTGGAACTTCATGTGCACCAGCATTGAACATATTTTCTTGCCACGGGAATGGCTGCCTCCCTGGACGAACCCGAAACCCTAGCCCTCTCCTTCGACTCGATTCGCCTGTAGATTCATCAGCCTTTGAATATCTGGCGCCATGTGATGATGATCTTCTTGTACCAAGTTCCATGACATTTTTCTGAATGGCTCCAACTCCATGTGATCTAGAGGTAGAGGAAGAAGTAGCAGATGGGATTGGGAAGCTATGATGTCTAGCCATGGAGATGTGGAATATCATAAGGAGGAAGAAGAAGAGGGTTGCTAAAGTGGTAGGAGATGATTTTGCATTACAAGCCATGCAAAATGATTTTGTTTCTTTTTAATATTCAAATCATTCAACAAGTTCTAGTTGATAATCATGCAACAACAACTAGGTTGGTAGGTGCTGAAACGAAGGCTTGGCTTTGCAAACTAAGGCTGCTCATAGCTCAAGATGGAAAAGAAAAAGAGACGCCACTAGATTTGAAATACCTTGTAGGGGTTTATAAGATGAAAGTTCAAATGAGAGAGAGAGAGAGAAAGAAAGAGGTCTGAAAATAAAAAGGGGAAAGCAAGGTGTTTGTGGACTACTTTTACATATCGTTGGGGATGATTCATTAAACAAGTATATAAATAAACTAAACAAAACAAAACCCCCCAAAAAAAAACAAATCAACTCCTGTGTTCTTTAAACTATTTATAAAAAAATTGTAAGCTTGTGTATTAAATTCACAAAAACTCATTAACAGGTAATCACTTTTATGAATTTTTTGATAAACTTACAAAAATTAGATGTTAATATGATTGAAACATATTAATTTTATGAAGATATATATATATATATATTTTAGGATATTTTCTATTGAGAGGGGCGATAATATACTAAATTCACACGCACTACACGGATGCTAGAACTCAAACCCAAGATCTTACCTGAATGAGCACTTACTCCAAACTACACCACCACCAGCTCCTTTGCAATTTTATTTAGATATTTGATGTCTCACAACAGTGTGAATAAGTAAGATTAGATTTAAAGAGAGAGTTTGCTCTTTTTCTTTTTGGGGCAGGCCTGATAAAGTGACAGTTCGCTTGGTTTGACCTTTTTGACACAGTGAGGGCGCGCTTTGGAAAAACCCATAGTTCCTTGAAAAGAAGACAAAATAGAGCCCACAGAGTATGAGTCACAGATGCTAATGCTTGAGGCAGATAAAGGTCTCAAAATATTATTTTCATATATCATTTTAGGTCCACGTTGGTGTTTCAATTAATACCAGGCCCTTCTTATATGATTTTTCAGATCCATAAAGTTTCTCACAACAGTGACCTTTCACCACTACCCAGCCAATAGATGAAGGGAAAGGAAAAGAGAAGGGGCTTGAGAGAGAAGATTTCCTTTCTCAGAGGCCCATTTTCTGTCCATTGAACATGAGTGAACAAGTAAATTCCATATCATATCAAGCCAGCTCTGTTAGCTGTAAGGTGGTACATAAACATTCAAAAACAACAACAATTTCAAAGATATCATATGGTTAAGCAAAGAAAAAAAAAGAGCAAGGTAAGGATTTGAGGCTGCTTGTCATTAGAATTAAGAGATCACTTAATAAGAGTTGACAAAATTGCAATTGGTTCGAATTTCGCCTTCGTTTTGCTCAGTGAGGACTTGAACATTCCCTAATTTGGCCATGGACACTCCAAACTGGTGGTAGAAGACTGATGGCTGGTAAGCAAAAGCCTTGATAAGAGGTGAAGTCCTTGGATCAGAATACAACAGTTGGTCTGTGGACAAAAGTCCCATCTTCTTCTGCAGATTGGTGTAATATCCAATGTCAAATTTATGTGGAGTTGCAGCATCAAGATCAACATAGTCCGATGCCCATCTGCATTTTCTTTCCAAGTAGTTCAAATACTGTGATTCAAGGGAGGGATCAGGCTTGCCAGTTCCACTGAAGTTATAGAGCCTGTGTTGTACAGAACCGCATGAAGACCTTCCTATGGTGTGTGCCCCTGCAGATCAAAACCATTTATTGCAACAAAGGCAGTTAGATTTGTGTTCTAGTGACTGGTTGTAGGAAATTTTTGTTGTCGTCACGCATTAGTTATGTTGTCACACTGTCAATTTGAACCTATAATTAAGTTGATTCATGTTTGAACGTGCGGCCCAAATTGATGGTGTGACGATATAGTATGCAAGCAAGATGCATGTGGACTAGATGGTTCACCTGAGAGAACGACCAAGTCAAGTACATTCAAGCCCTGTGATTGGAAAAACGCAACCAAAGCAGTGATGTTTTCGTGACCCATTGGCACCATTTCAGTTTCCTTGGCAATTGAAACTTTCCCATCTCTCCTCCCGTAGGGGACGGTCCAGTATGGACCTCCAGCTTGGACAGTTGCATCTCTGGTAGCTGCAGTCAAAATGTCTGCACAAGATACTGTCTTTGGGCACTTCTTCTCAACCTCTGCTTTAATATCATCTATCAGTTCAAACCCTCTAAGTGTCTTGCTGGCCGCAGCTGTCCTCTCACTTCCCTCATGGTATAATAAGATGGAGGCATCACATCCCTACATATATTGCAAATATAAATGAATATACCCAAATCCTAAGATACTATCAATTCATTATAGTAATAGTTGTTGTGATATATCATGCATGTAATATTACTATATGAAATTGGTTTTTTAAGCAATGAAACAAACTATTTTCCTCTTTTTCCCAATTTTGTCACATAAAGGGGGCCGTTGAAATCTCGTTGTATCATGGATCTCA